GTAATTTTATTGGGTAAAATCACATTCAAAAAACCTACAGGCTTGAAATAAATAATACGATCAGCCATTACAATACGTAATAAGGACATAACCATTCATTGTGTTTCGCCAATTTATCTTCTGAGGGCCTAGACAAGTGGCACAAACGCCAGTAGAATAGAATGGTTTATGAATGAATTGACGTCATGAAATTTGATGTAGCGTTTCGAACGTGTAATTGGTAGCCAAGTGTATCACGATTCTATTCCATTAAACGAAACGACAATGTAATACGATATTCTCCATACAAATGCGTAGCCAAGTGGCACATTTGACAAGCGAATTCGACTGTAAACGTTTCTAATGTACGCTTACGAAGCGAACGCTAGGACCCTGTAGAAAACGCTACGATACACTACCCAAGATGGCGATTATTTAAACAGCTGTTAGATACCGGTAGTTGTTTTTGTGAACAATTTCGTTTAAATTAATAAAAGTTGTACAAATGCACGCACTTATATTATTGTAATACGTTGAAACCGCCAAAGAAATAAATTTCGTCAGTTTTTAATGCAAATTAGTGAAATACCGGTGTATACATAGAGATTCCATAATTTTATTAAAATATATGTAATATCCCTTAACGAATCAAGATATTTCAAGAATAAGACAAGAGTAAGTAATAATCAGTACAAATATATTGTTATCATATTAGTATGTATGTATTAAAAAATACATCAGCAGCATTTTAATGTTTGATGTACCTGACTTGAACTATGGTTGGTTTTAGATTCCGAAGATGATTTAATTTACCAGTTGTCGTGTGATGTATTGACTGCACTCACATAGCTATAATGAAACCAAGTAAAAGTGAGCCCCTTTTTTAATAGAAAAGGCTATCACTCATTGAATCTACAAATAGTATTTTTCATTTTTCATATTATTCTATTACATATCTATATACATTTATCATCTATACATTTCATTCTATTTAAAGGAAGTCTTCGGCTAATAGGGAGCTTATAACTATTATTTTAGCTATTTTCACAGCATTATGTCGTACGGAATTTTGCGGTGGGGTCAAGCTGCGGAAGTAGATTCAATATTTATTTTGCAAAAGCGGGCTATCCGAGCGATATATAACTTGTCCCCTTGTGAGTCTCTGAGAAAACTATTTAAAACGATAAATATCCTAACGGTACCTTGTCAGTTTATATATGAAAATATTATGTTAGTAAGGAAAAATTTGCAATTATTTGAAAATCGAAGCGATAGACATAATTTTAAAACTAGAGGCAAAGATAGGCTGGCTGTGCCACGATTCCGTCTTTCCAAAGTACAGAAATCCTTTATGGGGTTTTGTGTAAATTGTTACAATAAAATTCCAAGAAGTGTATTAAATCTTAATGAACGAAAATTTAAAACTTTTATACTAAACGCGAATTATGTAGACAGGCATACTACAAACTTTCAGATTATATTGAGGATAAGAATGCCTGGCAGCATGTTGGTTCGGCTCCACTGGACAATACTTAAATATGTAGTCAGTAGTTATTAAAATTCTCAAAATTAATGAAACCTTGAATGAGTTTATATAGAAGCATTCTTTTGGATTGTGAGTACGCATATGTGAGCGCCATGTTCGAGACAAAAAAGGATTAAAATTTTAATGATAGAGTAAAGATGTAGTTTCTTTCTAGTTCTTCTCCATTCGAAACTACAATTTGGAACGAGCACCTAGCTTCACTGACGAACACACTACTATTCTATTTTGACGTTTTTAAAGTACCTATTTATGGTTTAGTTGGAATAAATGATTTTGATTTGATATACAAAAGTTAATCAACATATTTTTTCAGGTTTGTGACCACAATTTAAAGATATTAAATATGAATTGGAAATATGGTGGGGCCACACTTGACTCTTTTTAAAATGGTCATCCAGTCAAGTGGAAGCGATTCATTCATGCGGGAACTATACATATATCATAATGGTAAACAAACATGACAACTATTATTTAGTTTGTTATAATCCTTTGGTGCATAACTTAAGACAACAACATTGTACTCTCAAATTACATATCTTGATTTGAACTCCATGTATGTAATAAGTAATGTAAATTTTCTTTTGGGTGAAATAAAAATTGTGAATCAATAAAACTGTTTTTATTTTTGGTTACTTTTTCTGCACATAATTACTTTGTTACATACATCTCAAACTTAAAATTAACATTCACATCATCTTTGATGACATTCACATATGGTTTCGTCATCATGTAATTAAAGTTGTGCCAGGACTAATTTCATATAGGTAGAAAGTAAATTTAAAAATTAAAAAATTGTAAAGGTAATGTACAATATTCAATTACTAATAATTTGCATGCAAAGCCTTCAAGGCTTGCATTGAAGGTTTTATTTTCACTATATTTTCCCGTGTTTATTTACCACATTTTATTATCTATAACATAAATTAAGAATTTGTTGTTTGCTAGAAATGCAGTAAAAACTAAAAAACTCTATCCACAGCATCTCTCGTTCAAGAAGGCGCCTGTCACGCCTCTCCTAGAATTCACGTCGGCGGAGCTCAAAATTTACAAATTAATTGGTCGTTCTTTGGAATGGCTTTAATCCTCGGTTCCTACGCGCCCACTATAAAGAACGACGACGATTTGGTGTTGTAGCTGCCGAACGCGGAGAGGCTGTCACCTGCAGTCTAGACTTTCTTGCCGGAGAAGTTCGCGGTGAAGAAGGAAAAAGAGAGGCGTGCTAAGGCAGTGGCGTAGCTGTCTCCCGAGCCGGCGCCAAAGCTGTCCGCGGTGGGCGGATTCAGCTGAAAATAATATTTTTTATCATTACTTTATTATATTCAATCAATAATTATTCTTTCAGTTGTTTAAAGAAACTATTTATAACTTTCAAAATATTTTCGGAATATTGATATGGTTGGAACCAAATAAAATAATTACAGTCAACTTACTGTTTTGACTTTTTCTCTCTTTCTGCTGATGGCATCTCACTAGTGCTGCCTCCTGCCTGAACCAAGTGCAAGTCATTTGATGGTCTGAAATAAAATAATATTTCCTGTTTGTATTTCTGAATTTTGCTTTATGTTTACCATATGACTACCTTTCTTCATCACATGAAACATAGTGCAATTAATACGTAATAAATATCAATTTAAATTTATGACCGGATCCTGATAAGCTTTACAAAATTAGATACAAAAGATACAGGGCGGTCCCAGTTTATAAAATACTTACATTGAATCCAGCAGATGCCAGCTTGGCCTGCCACCGCAGACACTCCAATAACTGCAACCACTCTCTCTTCTAATGCAGTTAAAGATACCCTGCTGCTACTAGGCCCACCACCACCAGAAGAGTGTTCCCTTCTTTTGAAATATTTCTTTATAGGTTTTGTCTTCCAGTCTGCTCACACCTAAAAATCGCAATTAACAAAACATTATTTATTATGTTTTCAGCTTACTCACGTAATAATTTGACGAGATACTCGACTAGTTTCAAGCCATGCTAGATTAAATTATTACGTGAGTAAGCCGAAAACATAATAAATAATTTAGAATGTCTCACGAAAGTTATAATAAAAATAACAAAACATTGTGTCAAAACTTTATTATTCAAATACTATTGTGGTTCATAAAAATATAAATATTTTATTTACTGAGGTCTTCATTATCGAAATCGCTAACGAGGTCTCTGATATTATTTTTAATTCATGCCATTTCCCAGTTATCTACTGATTTTCGAATACTACCACGAATTTAACATACTTGATAAATCCTGCCACAGCTGATATCCCTTTAACCGACCTTGAACAGTCGTCTAGGGTTTCGAGATATCGCCGCGCTCTTAAAATAGACAAACTGCCTAAGTGGTATATTCCTTTGTTGATTGTGCAGATTGACCACGTCATAGTTGATATTAAGTTTAATTTAAGTAAAAATATTTAAATATTGATACGAACTAACTTTCCATAAAATCTATAAGTATTAAGAATTGCTGTGGACAAGCTCGAAACATCGGTTCCATGTAAAAAATTATATTATTCCTAGTAACCATTTCAACAAGAAGCTTAAACACACAAACATGCCGAAAATATATACATAACTAAAGTAATTTAATTTAGATTATCACATCATACTTATTTACAGTACTCACCCTCTTAAAATTGCTATTCCATGTATAATTTCACTTAAAAACTTAATAAACTCATCACTTCACAACTTAAAAATATTCTAGTTTTGCGGCGACCCATTTTCAAACTGACATTAGCGTACGACAAACCATAAAGAACAATTGATGTTTTTTCCAACATACGAATAGAATGAGCGTTCGACAAGCGGTTGTACACTTGGCTACCAATCGAAAAACGCTAACGCCCAAGCGTTCATTTTCAGTAGAATAGAATCGACTCCGAGCGTTTGCCACTTGTCTAGGCCCTCTGTAATGTGTACGCATAAAATGGGTTATATTGGAAATAAAAGCAGACCTTATTGGTTAGATAATAAAGTCAATATTTAATTATGTATCAAGGTCACTTTATTAAATATTATTAGCATAGTCGGATTGAGATTTGTTTCGTTTCAGCCCAATTTCAAAGAATTGGAGTATTGATTTGTAGAGAAATTAGTGAGTGATGACTATAGCGGGGCTATTGCAAAGCAAGTACATTGTACTTGCTTTGCATAACTTATGTAATAACTTATTATATATACTTATATAATAACTTATTTTGGTTCGAAATATTTGGAGTTTCTGTAAACAAGTATATAGATTTTGATTACGTTTATATTTTCTCGATAGCGATGATTCCCAAATTGATCAAAGCGTTCTCAACTTCTCATACCTTCAATGGCATATAAGAAAAATGTTACTGAGTATCGTTTTTGTTTATCATTACATTCATAATGATTATTTCCTATCGTTATGAGAATTAGGTCCTAGAAGTACATACCTACTCGTCTTTTCTATATATTAATATGTATTTGTTTGCTTTTTCCAGAGTGCGTCGGAGTCGTCGGCGGGCGCGGGCGGCGGGGGCACATCGGGCGGCAGCGCCCGGGTCTCGTCGCGCTCGCGGGCCTCAGAGGAACCACACATTGGTCAGTATCCGTCAACTAATTAATCAAAATGTCTTAGAATTAGATATCCGATTTGAATACAAACTTAGAAAATTCTATCGTCATCATAAGCCTATAAGTGCCCACTGCTGAGCAAAGGCCTCTTTTCACACGGAGAAGGTATGAGTATTAATCATCACGATTGCTCAAAATGGATTGGCGATTTCAAACTTATACTTAGAAATTATAAGTCCAGCTTTCCTCACAATGTTTTCCTTCCCCATATGTCAGTGGTGTCGAAATAATCATAGAAAGTACGTATAACTTGAAAAAAGTCACATTGGTACTTGCCAGGTTTTGAACCCGCACCCATGAGAACAGAAAAATTACCTGTCTCTAAAACAAACCTTCTATTCTTATAAAGCCCATATAAAATTGTCTCCTTACAAGACTTGTTGTAAGAATTTCTTGAAGTTAAAAAGCTTCCAAAGCCTTCGTGTAACTACCAACTTGGAAAACATAAAACCAAGAAGAAAATGAAACCATCTAACTTGGAGACTTGTAGAAGTTTCCAGAAATACTAACTTTCGTCGTGAACTTACAGGAGAACAGGGCACTTAATGAAACTAGAAGGTAAATTATATTTATAAGCTTTCGAACTTTGATGGGCCTAAACTTGGGATGTAGGTCTTGTTGAAATGAAAAGGTTTCTTTTTTTAAATTTCTTTTATTTATTTACAAGTAAGGAGGTTTGCTTTAATAATTTTATAAATAAAATTATTTGCTGTCATATGAGTCATATTAAATTATGTTTTTGTATAGTTTTAAAGATTTCTAGAAGGGTACTGTTTGACGAAAATGTTTAGTTTTGGTTTCTATGTTAAGCTTAACTCCCAAGCCAGTGTTTTTCGCTAGCCATTTAATAAAGTACGTGTGTACACTAATACAAGCTTTCAAAGACTGATTATATTACTTGTGCAGTTATGAAAAGTAACTCTTGTCTGTCTGTCTTTTGTTCACGCCCAAAGAACCGATTTATGTGTAATTTGGTCTAACCTCTCCAAACTCTTTATGCTGTGCCCTAACGGGTCCATATTGTTTCTAATATATTGTGTCAACTTTATAAAATATCACCTGTATAACATATGGAATGCAAATAAAGAATTGAATTGAATTGAACTCGAGAAAGGACATAGAATAGCTTTTGTACCAAAAATCTGCAGTAAATCACTATTCCACGCTAACAAAGTCGCGAGCAAAAGCGCTAGTATTATATATGCAGTTATTACGGTTGTTTAGATTTTAGGAATTTAGGTATTAACTGCCTTACTCAGAGACATTTAATGATAACTAAAACTGGTCAAGTTTTAATTTTAGTGTTAGTGTAGGTTTAAGTCACAATTAAATTCATTTTGAGAACAGTGGCAAGCTTCCTTGACAATATTTTACCACATATTATACCATACATTCATTGTAATCTTCTTTGTTTCCAGGAAAGTACAAGTTATTAAAGACAATCGGTAAAGGCAACTTCGCTAAGGTGAAGCTAGCGAAACATGTGCCGACCGGCAAGGAGGTCGCCATCAAGATTATTGACAAGACACAACTTAATCCTGGATCACTGCAGAAGCTGTTCAGAGAGGTAACATTTTTATTTACTCAGAATATAGTGTATGTAGGCAGAATTTCGTCACAAATACAAACTATAGCAACGGTAATACGATAAAGGTATTAGCCGTTTCTTTACGTTTTGACTATGTTTTATAGGTACCCCCGTTTTCATTGATTGCTAAATGAAACTTTTTAATTGCATTTTAATAAAAATTCTATCCAAAACATATGTCCGGATAAATGATGTGAATAAAAAAAACAAATACTGATATTGATTCCTCACAGAGTGCTAACAAGTCACACAGCAACAGATCAGAAACTTACAGTGTGTTGCTAACTCTCATTTTCTGCCGGGGATGCGAGGCAAGTGCGTAAAGGTAACGCGGCCTCTGCATTAAAGCAAGAAAAGGAACGAAAAGGTTTTTTTTTAGTTAGTAAGAGTCTGATATTCCTTCTCTCGATTTTACCCTCACAAAAAAAACATCTTGTGTCATTTTCCAACTGCTATTCCAATAGGAATAGTATTTTACAGATTCTAAGTTTCTAACAACATGTGTTTGTATTTCCAGGTCCGGATAATGAAGATGCTGGACCATCCGAACATAGTTAAGCTGTTCCAGGTCATAGAGACTGAGAAGACGCTGTACCTCGTCATGGAGTACGCGTCAGGAGGCGAGGTATGCACTAGCATTTCTTCATAATGTTGACAAACAACTCTTTTAAGTGTGGGAGAGCCATGCTTCAGCACGAATGGGTCGGCTCGACCGGAGTGATACCACGGCCTCACAGAAAACCGGCGTGAAACAACCACAGCGTTGTGTTTCGCCGTGTGAGTGAGGTTACCGGAGGCCCAATCCTTCCCCTTCCTGGACCCTTCTCCAATCCCTAAATCTCCAAATTCCTAATCCCTAAAAGGTCGTCAACGCACTCGTAACTCCTCCGTTGCGGGTGTCCATGGGCGGCGTTGATTGCTTACCATCAGGTAATCCGTCTGCTCGTTTGCCGACTTATTACTTTAAAAAAAAAAAAAAACCTCATACCCTACAAATGCTCCGTTGCGATATCACTACATAGTATAAAACAAAGTCACTTTCTCTGTTCCTATATCCCTATGTATGCTTCAATCTTTAAAACTACGCAACAAATTTTGGTGCGTGTTTTTTTGTCGATAGAGTGATTGAAGCGGAAGGTTTATATTTATAGTAAGATCTATTAAATAGTAGAGAAATTTAGGATAAGGATTTCACCCATGCGAAACGGAGGCGGGTCACTAGTCAATGATAATTAAGGGCAGACAAAACTTACAGAAATACTTTCGTTTGTACAAGTTCTTATGGGATAAGGTACAAACGACAAATTACCTGATGGTAAGCAGTCGCGTTGTTCTTAAACACTGACAACACCGGTGTCTTTACAAGTCCGTTGCCGGTCTTTTGGGGTTGTTAGGGATTTGAGAATGGGGGATTTGGGAAAGAGGATTAGGCTTCCGATGGAATATTAATAAAGTTTTATTTATAAACTTTATATATTGTGTTTCAGGTATTCGACTACCTCGTACTCCACGGGCGCATGAAGGAGAAGGAGGCGCGCGCCAAGTTCCGACAGATCGTCTCCGCCGTACAGTACTGCCATCAAAAGAGGATCATACACAGGGATCTCAAGGTAACATCTTCGAAATAAATTCTTTTAAACAGAATGTACAGTTGACGTGGTGGCTGGGCAACCGGCTGCCGTGCAACGTGCCATGGGTCCGATTCCCGCACGGAACAACTCTTCATGCGTTGCGTCATGTGTATATGAAATTGTATGTTTGTTAACCCATGATACAAGAGAAAATCCTATTGTTGTTAAAAACAAACATAAAGGGTTTCTCTGAACACGATAAATTACTGTTACCTATACGTAATATTACGTTAAACTAACTGTGCAAAGTTTTTCCATGCCCGTTTCATTCCCTGACTGTTTTGGAAGGCCCGAAAAGGCCGACTTAAGTTAATTTTTAAGTTTTACTTAATCGTTAACTGCAACCAGTATTAGTATAGGTACAAACGGTATAAATGACTATAATGGATTACCAGGAGTCGAAATATCAATGGATAATCAATGGATCTTATTATCTCGTCTATCGTTTGATTTCACAGGTTTCTTGCCACTACGCCCAACGAAAATTAAAAAGGCCTTTGTAGGTATATTACAATCGTCTCTTCGAACCTTGCAGGCGGAGAATCTCCTGTTGGACGGCGAGATGAACATAAAGATCGCGGACTTTGGTTTCTCCAACGAGTTCACGCCGGGCGCCAAACTCGACACCTTCTGCGGCAGCCCGCCATACGCCGCGCCTGAACTCTTCCAAGGTAAACCTCATCAATATCAGCTTTGAGGCCTTGCTGTAAGCGTCATTGAGATCAAAATTATTTTAAAACATCATGTTAATGCTTTTGACGTATATAGAATTAAACTCGTTATTGTCAAAACAAGTTTTATGTGACTAAAACTAAGAACGTCGCTGAGAAAGCATCTGGCAAAATCTAATGGAGTAGTTTTGTTCTCATTTCTGAAACAGTTTTGTTTCCATTTGATTATTATTTTTTCAATAACCCTCATTTAAATTCGCATTATTTTATAATCTTCCGTTGTCGCTTTTTAAAAAAGTTAGGTAAACTGTAATTGGCAATAGTATAAGCCAAAAACAATTTGCAACCCTTTATTCAACATTCTGTATACAGTTGGTTATACCTTTAATAAATAAATAAATAAATAGTTTTCAACCAATCTCTTAATATGCCACCGATAGCGTTACTTGTTAAACTTTATTAATACATTTATTGAAAATAACAACGTACTCACGTGAAGTAACTGCGTCGCGCACGCTGCTCATGAATAAGAGTCCCGTTGTGACTTGAAACTAGTCGAGCTTTTCGCAGTTATTTCGCGTGATTTATTCGTTAATTTCAATAAATTTAGTATGTCTCACGATAGTTAGTATTCATAAATTATTAAAACACTCTTATTAGTGGTAATATGAAGTGTAATTAATATGTTATATGGTTATTCCAGGCAAGAAATACGACGGTCCAGAAGTGGACGTGTGGTCGCTGGGCGTGATCCTGTACACGCTGGTGTCGGGCAGTCTGCCCTTCGACGGGTCCACGCTGCGCGAGCTACGTGAGAGGGTACTGCGCGGAAAGTACAGGTAAACATTGTAAAACTTATTTCTCAAATTACAAACCTACTTCAAACCACCAAGAAACGAGCGTACTCCTTCTTAAAAGGCCGTCAACGCACATGTGACTCCTCAGGTGTTGCAAATGTTCACGGGCGGCGCCGATCGCTTACCATCAGGTGATCCGCCTGCTCGTTTGCCTCCCATTACATAAAAAAAAACATAGAAATTCACATACACACTACCATTTGGGAATCACATAAAGTTTTGTTTTTAGTACTTTAGTATTTGATACTTTTATAAATTATTTTCTGGACACCACTGTCTTACCTTTTAGGGAATGGCATATGTTATGTTATTGAAGAATTTATATAGCAATTTTCTTACAACTTCCTTACGAAATAATACCACGGCCTCAGGAAACGGCATTGAAATAACTTTTATTTATTTTTTATTTATCCATTTATTTCAGGCATCAAAGGCCCATATAAAACGCAAAATAAGGCCCATATAAATAACGCTTACCTTTTCTTCGCCGTGAAGTGAGATTATCGGAGGACCAATTTTTCCGTCTCCCCGTTCCATATGTTGTCCATGGGCGCCGATTGCGTACTATCAAGTGATCAGTCTCTCGTGTGCAGCAGTTTTAATTTTATGCTCTCCCCTAAACTTAACCTTAATCTTTTACAGAATACCCTTCTACATGTCAACGGACTGCGAAAATCTTCTAAAGAAATTCTTAGTGCTGAACCCTGCGAAGCGAGCCTCCCTGGAGAGCATCATGAGGGACAAATGGATGAACACCGGCTATGATGACGACGAGCTCCGGCCCTACGTGGAGCCACAGCAGGACTTCAAGGACCATAATCGGATAGGTAAGCGATATTTTTATTTTATTTTTTAGTACTAAAGTTGTGATTTATACTTTTTTCTTTAATGGAGGTGTGCGGTTTATTAGTGTTGATAATAAAATAGCAATTAACAATTTAGAATTTATATTGTTTGTATATATTTAACAGTTTTAGGTTAAAAGGTAATAGTCGTATATGAGATTTTGAGCCAGTATTGTTGGTTCGTAATTTAAATTCATTGATTTCGGTAGTATATAATTTTTATTAAATGTCTTCGAAGTATAAAATTAAATGGTTTGTTGAAGTTTGTCAAGTTTAGTATGTCAAAGTTAAAAGTATCTTAAGTTCAGTATTTCGATAGTTAAAAAATGGCTTAGCAGTATAGTGTTAACTTGTTTTGATTCATTTGAGTATAGTCTCATTTTAACCCGTATCAATGTATTATCTAGATCCCTCCCATTTTCTTACTTCAAAGAACAGTTATTATAGACGAGTGTATAGAATAGACGCTTTATCATTAATATGGCCGCCAACTTACAAGGCTGCCGGGGTAAGCGTAATTAGGTACCGCGGACCCCGGCCTTGAACAGAAGAAGTAATGGGGTGGTTTTAGTCGGTAAGAGTCACGGCGAGAGAGTGAGAGTGTGTAAATAATTACTCTCTCTCTCGCCGTGAGTGCGCCGACAAAGAGTGCTAATATCAGACATTTGATAATTAAAAGAAAGGTTACAAGGCTACGGTAACAGCTTACACTTTGTAAGCCTGGTTATTAAAAAAATAATACTTAAAAAAAAACATTATCGCGAAAAGTCCAACATTACAAAGCTTCTAACCTAGTATAAGCTCACTTATAACACTTGATTAACCATGATTATTAAAAGTGTATAACGAAGATAACAGCTTGGAAAATACTTCATATAAGCTAAACACAACAAGCTCACAGCATGCTACAGCACTTTGTTACAGTGTGTGAAATATTGATATCAACTTTCTACAAGCATTTTATTTATTAATTCTTTTAACGAAATAATTACGGCCCAACTAAAAATATTTCTCAGTTTATATCTCATAAATAACTGAACTAAATTTGATGTTTATGGGACGATTCCGTAAACAATTTAAAACATTGGCTTCGCTTTTAAACAGAAATTGTTTGTTGCCTAATTCTAATTAATACAAAAAAGAAAATAAGCTTTCTTGGAAAGTACACACTTATGTTCACGTCTGCTTTTCTTTGAGAGATAGGCAGTCATTTACAAAGACGGTGTCTTGAATGAGTACAAAAAAAAGTTAAAAAATAATTTTATTTCTGTTTTAGAATCTCTCTTTAGTTAGCCATTTAATTTGAATTTAGATAGAGATTCATATGGATTAATTTTAGCGTGATTTCTTCTATTTATGACTATATTTTTTATTCAAAGCAAAATGCTTTGTATTTTGTGACATTCTTTAATTCACACACTGTATAGTCGACCATTAAATTGCTTTATAAAGGTAAACATCGCTTACACATCAAATAACAAAGCTGATATTTGCTTGTCATTACTGAACTGGAATACAAGGAGCGTCTCATGCGATTCTCGACCTTAAGCACTTTCACAGGTCGACTATACAAAAGCTAAAATAAAATGAGCTACTAATATTTTTACTTAACAATATTTTTGGCTTAATGAGGGCTTCCGTTGATTTTGCTCAGCAGATGGCGTTAATGTAGCATTAGGTCATGTTTGTCCAATCAATATATTTCTCTATTGGTTAACATTGTGCCATCTAGCGGGCAAATCAACGGTAGTCCACATTCACCACTGTGACGACAAAAAGTATTTGTTAGCTTAACTGACAGATAGTTAAAGAATGTAGACTATTTGTGAGTTAGACTAACTAAGACTTAAACAGAGGTGGTGGTTCAACGCCTTAATATGAAGATATTATATGTTTTATTATTCCATGCGTTCTAACGGCACAGCGCAAATTGGTACGTGATTGCATCGGGGAATGTGTTATGTGTTTTAATTAATTTGTTGATTTTCGTATTTTATTTATTATAGTTATTTGGTATGCAGTTAAGGAATTTAGATTGACTCAGTATAGACACAGTAACTAACAAGTCTTTGTGTGATCCACAAATTGTTGTTCCGTGTCTGGGTGTAATGTGTATATAAAATCGTATGTGTGCAAACGCACAGGAGAAAATCCTAGTGTACCTAAAAAAGCAATTTCTATGTATTGGTGCTGAATCTGACTGCAGATCAGAAATCCTGGCTGATTATGCGAGGCGTGTTGAATGAAACAAGGTTTTAATAACACTGCCGGTATTCTGAATAAACATGATGTTATATACTATAATATTATGGTATCTACGTACTAATTTTTTTTGTTACCAGTATGCATAGAAACCGAACAATAGTTACTGTCTTTGTATTGAGTTGGACTGCATACCAAGTAACTGTACACCGTATATGCACGCCAGCTTTATGTGTTATTATGCTAGTCATTATGTGTTTTTGTTTTAAGTTATATTATATTTTTATTTAGCCTAATATCGTCAAGTGATTAGTTGATTAATGTTAGTTTTAGTTATGTAAAATGACAAGGTTTAAATTTGAAAGGAATGCACACACATGAACTTGTGTTAATTAAACAAAAAGTTATGATTGAAAAATGTGTTGTCGTGGTTAGCGGACCAGCGAAATAATGTACTGAGGCCTCGGCCTAGAGTATGGAAAAGAGTTTTTAGTCAGTAAGAGTCTGACACTCCCTTCTCCTCAAACAGGGTGAGAGAAGCCATTTGATGATTATCCTCTCATTAATAAAGGAGAATATAGTTTGCATGCCCGTGTTTTAGTAATGTCAAAATGATTTAAATAGATAAATGTTTTTTGTATTTATATGTCGCATGTTAATTGTATGTCTATTATTATCTAGTGTTTACCTTCCCATCGTTGAGATTAATTTCTATTACTAATTTTAATAGTTTTTATAAAGGAGATTTTATACACAATTTTAACCTTTTTTGTCTTTATATTTCCTACTTTTTTATTGGTATTTGGGTCTGTTTCCTTTAAATCAAAACTCCACATAGAAAAATTATTTTCAATTTACTACATTTTAGAACTATAATTAGCTAGTTCAAATTTATTTTGCCTGAGAATCTCTTAACTTCATAATGTAGACACATCTGCCTATCACATAAAAGAAAAACAGGCGTGATGTCAAGACTTGTAAATAAATAAACTAGGATTCTCTTACTTTTCAAAATGGAGGTTATTCCAAGTCACAGTTTGAAAGAGAAAGTCATATAAATCTGATAAATATACCCTTAAAACATCAAACTCCATTACAATTAAAAATAAGTTATAATGAAAATTATGAAATTCAACTTTTCTTTCTTCTTTTTTAAATAATGCTCTAATTAGTACCTCTCCCCATCTAACAGAGGCGCTGGTGTGCGTGGGCTACAACCGGCAAGAGATCGAGTATTCCCTCGCCGAGGCGAAGTACGACGATGTGTTCGCCACGTACTTACTACTAGGCAGAAAGAGCACGGACGTGAGTACCAAGGTTATTATTGTACCTCTTACATCATCCAACGGTGTGTATATGTTGGCAACCCCATACATTATTTATGTTTTTTAATGTGGTAACACTTTACTCATAATTTTACCTCCTTCGTCATCGATAAGTGTGTTTTATTGTACGTCCTGGCAGTAATTTATTTTTAACATTTTATGTGACGTCATATCGTGTGTTTAAATGTATTTGTTGGCAATACTTGACGTTTTTTCGTTTTTTGAGGTGTGGTAATACTGTTTGTGGTTGGATTTATTGTGTTTGTCTTTTGTTTTTGGTATGTGATTTAAGGTTCTGTAGAGATAATGAAGATAAATTATGAAAATGTTGTATTTTGTTTACATAGTATTTTATTGTGTCTATTAAGTAATAAAGGAATATTAGAAATTTATTTAACATTACACGAACTTTGAGCATTGCTACAATAATAATTAGTTTGATTGATTGTTTTAAAACAGAAAATATATTTTTACAGTCAAATGTTCAAAAAATATTTAAGTCATCATCCCTATACAGATTCAAAATGTTTTTCATAGTGGAAACATTTTTCTTTATCTCTTTTTGTATGTCACTTGTGCAGGTACCTCTAACGTCCATACAGTCCATATTTACTTAACAACTATTATTGAGAAAACACATACATAGTTCAGTTATATTTGTTGGTATCTTACCAATATGTGATAATTGTAGAGTACCCCGATGAAGATACTTTTTCATTATAAGTATCTCTTTATAATTGATTTTGATGTTATTTTCTTCAGCCGGAATCGGACGGCAGCCGGTCCGGTTCGTCACTGTCACTCCGCACCGCCGCCGCCGGGGCTCAGCCACCGGCTAACAATAACTCCGCCGCACATGCAGGTAAACTATATCCATATGCTATCATTTCATCACATAACAAAATAGTAAAATATCCTTATTTGAATCCTAGGTTACCTTATTTTTAAGACTATTTTTCAATAACCAAATTTTGATGAACAGTTGGAAGGTAAAAAATGCTGATGTAGGTTTCTTTTGAATAAATTCAAAGTTAAGTTTCAATCTCTAATTGAAGCGAGAAAAACTGTGTACATAAACAATTTTATTTGCTTCCAAGCCATGTTAAAATATGCTATTATATGTGACAAAGGAACGTATTATTTGTTTTATTAATGGTAACACAAAAAGTACTATCGACAAAATGTAAGGATTACATTACTATCACTGATAAAATTAAAATATTAATATCAAGGGTAAATAAAGCGCTTCATTCAGCTGTATCTGTTTTATTCAGTATTTCGGACAGTAAGCTGAAGACGCTTTAAAGCGCTTACACCATACTGATTCAGCTTAGCTTAATTCTAACTGGGTTATATCATTGTCATCATTACTATGTTTTTAGGGCGCGTCCTTATTTATCATTTGTATTGTCCGAGCATTGATATTTTGACACGAATGGAATTGAATATTTTTATTGATACAGTTCACTACAAAAACTGAATATTCTTCAGTGTCTCAATATATCTGCTCTTATAATAATAAATTAGGATCATTCTGTAATACTTATTGCTTCTTATTATTATTATTGTGTATCGTGTGCTTTACGTACTGGGGACCGATCACAACCGAGGGTTTTTAATGTCTAGGGATCTTCAGGGCACACTCACAATGGGATTATTCATTCAGTCTAACTTGGGTTCCATATTTGTAAGTAACATTGTCAATGGAAAAACATTTTAGATGCATATAATTGTGATGTCAATTGGGTCCATAATATTATAATTTATTGCCGTATCATGGATCCATACGAATTAGTAACACTCGTTTCAGTTAGTAAGCACGATAGAAACTAATTTAAGTCTTCATTCTGAGTGAAATCTGGGGATGGAGTACTACTTTTTCTACTAAACATATTGATATTCAGCCGAATCTACCTAAGGTTTTATGCCAAACCTAGAAGGGAAATGTTAAGAAAAAGACCGGCTTGGTGCCATTTCTGCACTGAATAGCAAAAAAAGTTGACTGGGAGATTATGGTTGTAAGTTAGAAACATTTTTCTTGTCAATTGTGAATGAGTTGCTTGAAATTGAGATAAGTGCGTGTAGTGTAGGAGTGTCGAGGGGAGGGTGGGTTGGTAGGGTTGTGATCGGTCCGGGCTGTGCGCGGTGTAACACGCGGGCGGTGTAGGCGGGGCCGCGGCGGGCGGGTCGCCGGGCCACCGCGGCGTGCAGCGCAGTATCTCCGCGTCCGCGCGCCCCGCCGCCTCGCGCCGCGCCTCCTCCGGCGCTGAGGTGCTGCGCACGCAAGGTACCTCATACATACACACATACTCTGAACCAGACACATGCACCGAATACTCACTACGTCTATCTTTGGACTTATGTCTTTGGAACAATCAGCACTTTCAAGGCACCATGGCCAAAATTATCAACTGAATGATTTCAGTTTGATATCAACCAACTGTTTGTAAATGGAATCTGTACGTGAAACTGATTTAAAAACAGTAACCATGGAGTTTCTTGCTCGTTCTTCTCCATCGGAATCTATACTTTGGAACGAGCAAATAGCTTCACTAAGAGGACTGACCGACAGACTGACACTATATCTTCAAAATTTTGTTTGATGTTCAAAAGTGCTTGTAAGGGTTTAATTGGAATAAATTATTTTTGACTTTTATTTATAAACTAATTCAAAAGTCATGACTTGTAGGAAAGCACTACGTAATTTTGTTTAACATATATCTGCGATCAGTCACTATGTCCGGTGATTTGACCACGGCATAGCGTAACTCCAGTGAGCCGTCTGCTCTCAGAATAGCTGCAGCCATTTGTCTATTCCGTACAGTATTCTGTAAATTTACGAACGATACTAGAACTTGTTGTCCTTTTACTGTTTTAAGTGATCTCCATTACTCTGACTGAGTTGAGCATTTTTTTTTATATGGCAATATTGTCCTATATCAAAATTATGAAAATCCTCCAATACCTAGCAACATACATAAGTGTACAAACAATAGCAATTGCACAGCACAATTACGATAGTGTAGATGGGTACTGCATACATTTCCTCAACAAGCTATTGAAACATAAACAAACAAACAATACAATATCAGTAAGTAGTTTGGTTTTACAGTCGCTTTTTCAACGTTACCTTAGCTTAAAAATAATTAGCTAGCTTTGGGCAAGTAAATTTTATTTTACCTCCATTGAAAAGCAATAAATAGGTTTATCTAAAGAAAATAAACAATAACAGTTAAGTTTCAAATTAAAAAACTCAAGAAATTTTACTTATAATTATAATGATTTTGGTAATTGAAAATCAAGATGGCAAGGTAATTTTGTCCAATTGTACAGACATCAGATTTTTTAATAGATATGTATAAAAAAACATGTAACGTTGAAAAAGTACTGTAAACATAATTCAATCGTTGTCGCTTATGTTTAGCGTGTAATTATCGTAAATAACTAATTTTCACACATTACTTTTTACTCAAACTAAAAAACAACATCATGAAAACGATTGCCAACACTTAAAATATGTTTTCTTTTAAATTTGTTGTCATCTAGGCAATGTTTTCATGTTATTATGCCAATAAACATAGGTGATTGGGCATTTTTATTGCTAATTAATTAACATTTAACCATCCGCTTTCAAAATTCAAAAGCTGTTTTAACAAAATCATAATTTGGTTCATATTTCTGTTATTGTTTAATTAAAATTCAGATTCAAGGTGTTTGTTTAAGACACATTATTTGGAAATTTTTATATGGACTATATTTACTCTTGGTATGTTTCGAATGTTCGACATTAAATTAAAGTTTTGCTCAAGAATATGTAATTAAAAATGTATCATTAATTCAAGGTGTTTATTAAATTCATTACATTACTTTTTTATAACTAGAAATTTGATAATTTTAACATATCAAGTGTAAACAACCAAAATTCGTATTGCATGTCTCGTGTGTGAAAATATTAAAAAATCATGTTTTGTAAATCACAAATTGACAATCGCACTTTTACCATTTTACTCAATAGATGTCGCTGTTTTAAAGTGTCATTGTATCATTTCACGCTATGTTTTATGTTGTAATGTATTTGTTTTAAACGTTATGACGCTTACATTCCAGTGGGTGCGACGACGACATCAGCAAATAATACCACATCAACGGCCACCACGACAACGTCCAATTTCAAAAGACAGGTGAGATTAATTATTTTAATTCATCAAACAATCAATAAATTTTTCTTCTAGTTCTTCTGTTGTGTCTCGAATTATCACGTTTAAAAAATGTTGATATTTAATGGAGTCGTGTTGATAATTCCAGAATACAATTGACTCTGCATCGATCAAGGAGAACACGGCGCGGATCGCTCAAATGCAGGTACGAAAGGTATAGCAACTACAATCTACATATTACTTAGAACCTAGTAACTACTGGGTTTAGTTAGAAACACTAGTGACACACATAGAAAACAGGTATTCTATTCAAAAATATACCTTTTGTATAGCGAATTTTAAGATTGAATTTAATTTGTATGTCTTATCTCTTAAATTATTTGAGACATTTTAATTTTATTTTATAGATAATAATGTGGTATTGGGAATTCGACCTTTTGTATTACTGTTCTTAAACTCACTTTCACTTGTTTTGTATCATGATGTTATTTTAATTTACATTACATAATTTACGTTTAGCTGTCACAATACCTACAATCAATAAAAAGGTCGACTGTAAGGCAATGCCTAAGGCATTAATTATGGCCACCTGTACATACACAACTATAGGTACCTAAGCAATCAACTGACGTATTAATATTGTTTACTAGGTGGCAAGCACAACGCGGCCCAGTAGCGCGGCGCCCAAGCTGGAGCCTCGGTCGCGCACGTTGACGGGCGGCACGCGCAGGACGCAGACTTACGACGCGCCGCCCCCACAACCCCCCAAACTGTCGCCCCCTCATGATGCACCAAGGTAATTTATACACTGAGATTTTCTCCTGTATCGTGGATGCGTTTACAAACATACTATTTCACATACACATCACACCCAGACCCGAAACAATAATTTGTGAATCACACAAAGAAGTTGTTCCGTGCGGGAATCGAAACCGCGACACGTTGCGCGGCAACCAGTTGCCCAGCAACCACGCTAATCGTGCAGTCTGCAGTTATTAATTGTTTATACAGACATAGGATGGATCTGCCATCACATTAGCGATGCCACCGATTAGCGATTGTTTTCGCGTCAAAAAAAGTTCCTTAGAAAGTGTTTAAGTAATCATTAATTTAAATGTCCCTGAGTATGACAGTTGAAAATTGTGTTATTTGGCGATAAATTAGTTAGGAGTTATTGATGATTAATGACAGGAAGAAGACGAACATTGTAGACGTTGATAAAACAATCTTGAATCCAATACAACAATTTGTTCACTTTTAAGTCAGCCAAAATTGTTACCAAACAACACCTGATTTTTTTTTACACACAAAGAATCGTTTTAGCCTAAATTCGAAAGTGGCGACATCTAGCTAAAACAAATTCGCATTGTTCTTCGTTGTTGATTAGGGGTTTTAAAGGGAGCTGCACACCTTCCTTTTCTTCCTAATTTTCCCGTCACTGCCTAAATAAATTCTTACTTCACAAATCCCAAAATAAACACACTCTCCAAATTTCCTAAACACCGTTTGTCCCTTGATCTCTGGTGTGACAGTCCCAATATTTTCACATTAAACCATTTAATTAAATCAACTGTACACATTTTTATACTTGATAATTAAGTACCTGTCAATATATATTGTGTTTGTTCTGTATCTTATTGTGGTTAACTGTCTTAAAATGTCTCATATAAAATTCTGTGTTTATCTGTGAATTTTCCCTTTAAAGTCAATAAAAGTTAAACGAAATTATATCTTGTGTAACATCTTATATATGATTATGTATGTATCCTTGTATATATCCGATATTTATGTATATGCGCATGAGAAGGGACTAACAGCATGCTTGACCGACACACAAAACAGTGCCCCGGCGGCCGAGACTAAAAACGGCACGGGGAGTGCCACCAACGGGGCGACTTCTACCACGGGCACTACGGCCGGGGCGAAGACCCATGTGAAAAGTGCGTCGATATCGTCCGCCAGTGGTGCTCCGCCCCTCGGGGCTGACGCTCAGCCCCACAACGCGTCCGCAAGGGACCTCGCGCAGCCGCGCCCGAGGTACAGCCCGCCGCCGCATAGCTTGTCGCTGGTTCACGAGCCCGTCATGTTTTAAGACAAATCGACAATGTGTGCCCGAAATTATATCAAAAAAATAGCTAGACTGTTTTCTCGTTAATTTATCGAAAAGTATACAACCTACATACAAAATACGCTGTAGTTATTATTTGATGTTCGCCCGGTATGCTGGGGCAGTTAAACTACAGATAAAATCCATTCTTATCTTCTACAGCGGTAGTAGAACCTACGCTAAAGCTTTGGCATCGAAATATTTACCCCAAAAAAAACAACTCAATTCCATACATGACATTGGAACATCGAAAATTTATTACAAGACTGGACAAGAAAAAGGATTACTGGCAGAATAATAAATATATAAGTTAAGAAAATATGTTGTTAAATACGACTACGTATAGTATATAATTCCGGGCGCACAGTTTTCAAATAACGTGACGGGTATCAAGCTTCGGTTCTACAGTTGGGTTTTGTTTGGTTCGGCTTGCAGCTAGTATCTAGTACATTTTGTTACATTATCGACGAATTTTTTTATTTGGTGTTTTTGTCGTTAGTACTTTTTTTGTTTTTGAGAGAAGAAATCGCAATTTCGGTATTTCTTTTACGACAAATGATCGAAGATTTCGCTGCGCTGTTTCAAATGGCGACTTTTTGTTAAACACGACGCTTTTTTTTACTACTTTCGAGTTATTTTTTCGGTTTTTTGTTTTGCTTCAACGGCTTTCACACAGCATTAATCTTAAAGGCTATTGGCTTAAGGTTGAAAATATTGATTCACCTTTTTATTTTTTGCACTATTAACCATTTTTTTTCTGTTTATTTGTATTGGTTTACTTTTATTTACATCTTGTGTTTGATAATATATAGTTTTTAATTTATAATATTAAATACAGTATGTTTGCGGTAGTGGTAGTAATAATAATAATTACTTATTCATTGTAAAATATTTTTACGTATGTATGTGTATTTTATTTGAGTTTTTTGTAATATTATTTTTATTTTTATTATTTATATATCCCTTTTTTCTTAAATTGCACAGTATTTTTGTGGTTTTTTGTTTTCGAACACGTACGTAGAGTTAGCCCGTGAATTTTTGTATTGATTTTTGTTTTTTTTTTTTTTTGTAATTTTTGTGATGTTTCCGTTGCAGCCTGAACTCGCAAGTGTCGACTGGTGGTGGTGCGACAGGCGCGCGGAGGGAGTTCCCCAACCCTCTCGTGTTCCCTCGGAATGTACCCTCGCGGTCCACCTTCCACTCAGGTAAATATTTAAAACAACGAAATATTTTTTAAAACTGTGAACCGTTTTTTCTATTTGTTACATTTAGGTATTGAAATTTAATTAATGTTGTATAGGTTTAAGCAACAACCACAAGCTAAGGAGGGACCAGGGAAAGACACACACGAAGTTGAACTTTTAAATTTCTCATGTTTGATGTTTTAAACCTGTGCCTGTAGTGGTCTATTTGATTTTTTTATTTGAGATTTAGATTTATAAACGTTTAAAATATGATGATGTAACTTTACGTCAAAATATAAATTACGAAGACCGTTTACTATAAGGCGTGTTATGTAACGCATGGTTATAAGTGATTCAAAATTTCTCTTTTTCCCTCCAGGTCAGAACCGCACGCGCGGTTCAAGCGGCGGCGCGTACGGTGACGGCGGCTCCCCCCACCAGGCGCGGCCATCTTTCTTCTCCAAGCTGTCCTCACGGTTCTCCAAACGGTCAGTCTCACAGTCTCACAGTCTCACACCACCAATCTGGAGAGACGGGACCACTACACTTGGCTATTGTAACGAATTTTCGAGGATTTTAGTTTCAATTTAAGTGCAAGTTTGTAAATTTACTTTTGGAGGTTATATTTTGGCTAATTCCTCATTATCTTACAACTCGAACAAATGAATGAAAAAGCACTCAAAAAGAAATTGGAAATATAACTAGAAAATTCTGTAATCGTGTAAACGTGAAAGATACAAAACCAAGTACACAGTACAAATAATTATTTGTTTATATTATATTTAAATAACATTTTCAGAGGAACCACCTAAAACTTTTACTGCTACGCGATTCCTACTAATACGTAATGCTATTAAACATTTTATACTAAATTGAGATCAATTTATTCAAACAAAAATGAATGCCAATAAATTTTAAATAACAATAATTCGTTACAATAGCCATTTGGTAGTCGATACCCATTTACTACCAATATATCTTAACAACCAATCACAAGACATACACACACACCTCCATCTTGTAACTAACATTACCTACATAACATATATCGGTGGTGTAACATTTTATATTACATTACGTTATCGTTATATTACTACGGTCTCCATAAGCTGTAAGCTTAATGCTAGCCCGCTATTAGACTTTGGGAGTTTTTATCAAGATTTTTTTGTGTCATTTCCTTTTCGATGGTAAAAAATTTGCTATTTTGTCGTATTTTTTTTGAATATATCATGTTTTTGATGGAATTTGGACGATAAAGGGGTCGTAAAGTATGAAAAAATTAAGTTTTCTTGCGATAAATGACACAAAATGTTCTTCAAAAAAATCTCGCAGCCTCTTATCACCCGCTAAGCATCGATGTTAGCGATTGCTTCCACGCACACCTGTTTAATCACCCCCCACACTTCATTTTCTCATATAATTATAGTTCTATATCATTATATAGTATATTGAAATAGTGATCTTAGATGTTGGCGCCCGATATGGGCAGATTTTTTAGATATTTTTTTGTAAAAAAGGGTTGTGGAGTTAAGACTCGTGATTAAACTAATTGTTTTTTTATTAAAAGAGTATTTATTATTATTGAATTGGAGCTCTGTTTGATTATGTTTATTGGTAATTTATTTTTCAGATTTATTTGCACATTTTTTTTCTTTACTTCATACTTATTGAGATTCTTTGAGGTGACGTTATTTTGTTTTTTTGACCTTTTTCTCGTTTTTTTCTATAAACTTACATTTTCCAAATTAATTTTTCTTTTGCTTGCATTAACAATTCAATTAAAAAAAAACACAATCAGACGAGCTCCAAGGTATCCGTTCACGTTGTACGCCTTCTTTATTATAATTAATTATGTTGTAAATAATTGTTTAATACACCGTAGGCACACAATCTATCTCTAACTTGTCACTATTAACCCATTCGTATGTCTCGTTTGTGTGAATCATTATATGTGTTTATTTATCATTTTTTATTTTATTACTTTATATTATTTCTTAAGATGAAATTGTCTCCCTCAAAAGATTCCGAGCTCTTTTTTATTTTTTATTTTTGATACTCGCGTCAACGCAGGGGATGCACGATGCTACCTACCTCCCGTACGTCTCGATTCGCACTCAGTACCGGTAAACGCGCTCAAATCCCCCCTTCTCCCCATTTTTACCAAGTAGTTCTTAGATCAAAGCATGATGTACTCCCCTTTTCTTTCGTTAGTTTTTTTTTTATTTTCTGCTAAACAAAAGTGTGTGCTAAGGCTACAGACATGCCTACATGCTTTGAGTGTTGTCAGTAGTGCTTTGTCAATAGAAAAACTTAAAAAATATTGTAAGTAAGTATACGGTTTGTGCCTCGTCGACATTGAGAGAGGTGTACGGAATAAAATTATTGAAAAAATAATATTTAAAAAGAATATAGATCACATCTCTCGTGCATCCCCCGTTTGACGTTTATATTTTTTTTTACCTAACCGTACGCTTCTACTAACGAACGTCGACGGTCGCGACCTCTACCGGTTTTTACGGTTTTTTCGCTTTTCTAGTCGATTCCACAACCCTTTGATTGCAACGTGACGGAATTTTATACGATTTTTTTTGTTTTTTTTTTTCTGATAATCTTTTTTTTTACTTAACGGAGGGAGTTACGTTCAGTATTGTGCATCTTGTGTTGCGGCGCGAGAATTTATTTAATCATAGGATTGCCATTAATTTTGGTTTTACAAACATTTATTGTGTAACAAAAAAGGTGCTATTGCAAAAAAACTTTTTTTCGTGTGGCATTATTAGAACTTGTACAAGTGTTTCAAATGACATGGCAATCCTAACGAGTGGCAGTTAAAAAAATATGTGCCAATAAAAGTGAGCCGGATCACGAAGAGGGGGGCGATTCGACACGTTATTGGTCGATTCGCTTACCCGTTCCGTTGTACGCAGGTTGAATCAGAATCCTTGAAACGTCGGCGTGAGTGGACGTGCTGGGAAGATTTAAAATAATTAATTATTATAAATAAATTATAGGGAATTGTATACAGTACCGATTGCTCTGTCGGCCAACGATTGTGTTGGCACACAGAGTTACTATAATATCGTGTTCAGTGTAATAATAATATTATACTAACGAAATGTATCTTAAAATACTTGATCTTGATATTTTTAGTATTGAATGTGACTTTTTTCGTTTTTCTCTATGTAAAATATTTTCTTGAGGTATATATAGCCTATGGCATAATGGGTGATTAAGTTTGCGTTTGGTTTACTGACTGACAATGTGTCAAAAAGTAAGTCATACGAATATTAGCTTAATCGGACGTTGTGAAATAGGTATTAATTCTTTTGAAGTTATTGAAGAACGAAATGGCGATGTCTATGTGAATATTATTATTTATGACATGAAGGAGATATAAGCGTATTACGCTGCTCTACTTAAATTAAATTATATATTATATTTTTACTATGCTGATTAGCTGAAATCAGATTAGCTGAAGTCAATTTTAAACTACATGAGGTTGACATTGCTTAACTGACTACTTTGATAAGAGACACCGAAACGAAAATAAGTGGTCACAGTATTTTATAGTCTAAAAAACCGGAGATGAATAAACTGATTATTGTTTGTGATATCACCGGTATTTTTGGTGTCAGTCCAAACACGATGTAACATGGTGCTGAACGCATACCCTAAAAAAGCAACTTGAGCCTTACTCAAGCCACTATTATTTGCTTCACGACAAGGTACCTAATATGTAAGTACATATTTGCAACGGCGGCCACTTTATTGGCCTCTTAAAGTATCGCGTTGCATCTTGTTGTGAATTGATCCTTACGCTAATGTTCGCTTACCATCAGGCGCGCCGTCACCTCAGTTCGCTAGCAATATTAGTTTAAAATGTATCGCAGAACCGAAATATCACCAGCCATTCGTTTTCCAGTAAATTCTAAACCTTATCCACTAAAGACTGTTTAACTAGATACTCAATTTAATTATTATTATTACACTGAATAGGTATAATTAAAAACAAGATGTTGTTTGTAAGTGTTAATCATTTTTTTATAATATTGGCGTAACCGTCATGTTTCAAAGTTAATAGTTTACATATAAAATTTAAAAATTAAAAGATTTGTAATCATTTATAAATTTTTCATTATGGGAAAGAAAAATATAATCGCGACGACTTCTGTCTACATGTTATTTTATTAAAATTGTTTTCTATTATAATGTTTTATTTGTTTAGAAAATACTAAATTTGATTTCGTTTTGTTTATATACCTTGTGCTAAACTTTAGATGTTGGTGGTCAATAATGTAAGTAGTGATAAAGTCATGACTTTTTGTTGGGAGAAAAATCTGGCGATGCATTTTCTCGCTCTGGGTAAGGTCAGAGGGAGTGTTAGACTCTTCCTAACTAAACCCTGTTGTAACTCTTGCTGCAGTCAATTGTTATACCTAATGTTGTTCCTGCCATTGTTATTGTTACCTTCATTATAAAAACCGAAAACTGTTTCGTTCGTTCTAGCAATTGGGTTCGATCCCCGGCTAAGAATCAAAAGTATTCAATTATATTTCCTTAACAGTTATTATGTCAATCAGTATGACATCATATTCTAATGTGAAATAAGAGTCCCTCCAGACTCTAAAATATAGCCAGAGTTTGCTTCGGTTTGTCTCGAAAGATTAACATAACGAGGTTGATTCAATGCTACTACAAGGTTGATTTTAGCCAAGAATGTTTTCCTTATCTCTATCATACATTATATGCCGCCAATCCATATACTTACACAATATATAATATATATTTTCTTAAAATAATGTGTAGCGGATCACTAGTCCCGTCGCGATATGCATTTCATCACTAGCTCATAAGAATTATAGATGTCTATTTTCGAGCGAATTTTCAACATTCCAGGGTTCCGTATGTATTTCGTTTTTTTTTCTCTTTCTTATTAATATTTAAGTTCACAAAAAGCACAAATCTTTTGGCTTTTGTTTTTTTTTATTTTTTATTTACTCTAAATTCTGAATTGTCTGTAGATCGTTAAATATTTCATTGACTGATACAATATTTTTTGTATATTTGTATTTCATATGTTATGCTAAATGTATAGATAAATATTTGTGTAGTGAAAATCTCATTGTTGGGTTTCTATGTGGACCATTCAATGTATTCTTGATTGAAATACATATATAGACTTTACTAGCGGAGTCACTTTTTTGAGAGTGAATATGTAAAAGAAAATGTATAATGGTAATTAAAATGATTATGATTTACTGTAATGAAGGCTGAGAGAATCAGTTCATTCATTAATTCACGCAAACAACGAGGTTAAAAAACCCTTAGAACAATTTTCTATTCCAAATTCACTTCAAAAAGTTGCTCAGTTAGAGAACATTGAGTATAGAAACAAAATTATTACAATTATATTTTTTTAGTAGGGCAATACCTAACAAGTAATTGCCATATCAAAACTACAAACAAAGTACCTTATACTCTGTACCTA